AAGGCTCAAAATTAGCCCCCCACACCCGAAGCAGACGAAAAGGAGCGCCAAGGCAAATCCAAACCTATCTCGAGCCAGTCCAACAGAAATCCTCGACCTGGGGGGCAGTTGTTGTGTGAGAAAATGTGTGCTGACACATCAAACAATGATCTTGCCCCACGTGTCATCGCTTTAATCCATGTCAGATAGCTGTCGTCGTCTGGCACTCCATATTCGGGAAAGGCCGAGCATACATGGTGACTCATGAGACCATCGACCCCATATACGGCCGAGGCCTATATGGGTTCGCATCAACAGCATCGTGATAGGGTCGACTGGTAGGGAGCCATCGGCTGGGTTTGTATTATATAGGCACAAGGAGCAAACCGCATGAATATGGGTCCACGTCCCCAGAAAGTCCCATGAGTGGATAAGGGGAAATCCTCAAGTTGCGTTTGGACTTGGAAAAGGTCAGCCACCCTGGAAATGATTACTTGCCCGTAAACCGCCTGAAAGGGACCAATGGGGATCACCTAGGACCTGCAGAGCCGTGACAGGGGACAAATTGGATGAGTGAACAGTCCAAAAGGTGCTAAAATGGCTAGTCTAGTCTTGTAGAGTGACAGACTACCTGAGGAAAGCCATCATGTAGCTCCTTGCAACCGCCTATCGAAAAGGATCAAAACACAATCCACGAGCTATAAAAGGGAGGAAGGCCGCATGGAGAGAGGGGGGAGGTTTTCTCTACTTTTTTATGAAAATCCTAAAGAACATAAGATAAATATAATACAGTGGATGTAACTCTTTTGATATAAGGGTGAACCACTATAAACTTGTCTGTCTATTTTTTACTTTCACTCCAGCACCGCGTCAAATACTCTTCATGATACACTGGTTGCATAAACACCTTGACTAATATATTTAGTTAAATACAAAGCTTTAGTTGGTAACCCTGTGGGTGACCAAAGGGTAATTCGTTAGAGAACTGTTGATGAAAATCGACGTCAACAATAACTATTCATTACAATAAAGATCCTTATTATTTTAATTTTAAAATAAGGAAATAGGGAGCTTAAAGAATAAAATAATAATTTATTTGGGAAAAAAACTTTTCATTAATCGATCAAAGAGGCGGTTACTTCCCGAAAAAATACAATGATTGCACTATTGGGTGTCACTTTCCTATGAAAATTGCTGATGCCGGTATCACTTCAACAGGGAAAGTGAAGAGACGCGACTAGAGAGGGAAATAAGAGAGAGGAAACCCTCTAAAACAATTCATCCGCACCAGTAGAAAGAGAAACTCATTCTAAAACTTGGGAAACTTAGAGAGAGAAAAAGAAAACCGAACAAGAAAGAGAGAAGAAATCAGTAGATCTTGAATTTAAATTATAATTTGAATTGAAGTTATAATTTAAGTTTATATTTAAATGTAGATATTTGAATTATAATTTAAATTAAAAATTTATTTGAGTGGATTAAAATTTAAATTTATATTTAAATAGTATTTTAATAAAAATTTAATAATGATGAAAAATTTTAATAAGATATATAGTTGAGTTATATTATCTATTCACTATAAACGTATAAAAAATTATCTCAATTAAAATTAAAATATAAAAATTATAACATTTTTAAGAATAAAAAAATATTATTTATTAACTTAAGTTTAAGTTTATAAAACTTAAATTAAAAGAAAACTTATTGCAATCAGATATGCTAGGGCTGTCATGGAGAAGTTGAGTTTGGAGCAGGCATGCTCTTTTAGTTGTGGCGCCTTCATTCTTAGCTTTGCTGTGTCCTAAGAATGCCCCATCTTGCTTTGCTTAGACTGATTGTTGATAATTGTATTTTAGTCTTTCACCTCCGTCATGGCCCGGATAATGACTCCCAAGCAAACTTGCCTTCACCGCACCACAGATTTAAACTGCTTTGACGAAGATGGCTTCCGTGAGGCAGTTCGGAGAGTAGCTGATGGAGCCATGATGCCTGAGATTGAACCAGAGGATTTCCGAGTGGAGCATTTTGCGAAATGTCTTATTGACCGGGGTGATCTTCTTCAAGTACCCTTTCTATTCAAGTCTCCTTTCTCTCCGTCGCGGGGTTGGTTGGAATGGCTGCGCTCCGTGCTTTGCCACAAGAAAACACAGGAAAACTTGGAAGTTGGAAGCTGCTGGAGTACTCCCTTTCCTTGTCGCCTCTAGCACCTTTAAGATGAATAGAGATTCACAGGGCTTGAGACACTTGCTCCGTCGCTGGAAGGAGCGCGACACATTTGGAGCAGGTTGGGGAGAGTTCAGCATTGGCTTGGACGATGTCTGCGTGATGTTCCAATTACCGGCTGTTGGCCAAACTTCTTTATTCAACATTAAACTTGATGGTGAGGAGAAAGGCATCCTCGAGAACTTGGAGAGAGGAAACACCCTATGCCGCACGAGCAAGAGATTGAGCTTCGTGGCATGGACACGTTTCTTCTTCGGAGATTACGATGAGAAGAACACTTTTGTTGCTGGTACATGTGCTGATTGGGGATGTCAGGTCGATGCCTTGGTTGCACTTTGCCTGAGCAGGTTCTTGCTTCCTGAGTCGCCAGAGGATATCGTTCTCAGCCGCTACTTTCCTCTGGCGATCAAGATTGCTAAAGGCGCAATTTTTCCATAAGCTTTATAAGTGTTGGGATATTTGTATTCCCAGTTGGAGGCCTTGTGTAACTTGGAGTGGTTCACGGTAGCGGCTTCATCTTGGAGACTTACATTTCCACAGCCTTTCTTCAAGCTTTTCTGTGGGAGAGATTCCCCAAGTATGCTCCGAAACCAGCTGAAGTTCAGGACATTGAGAAGTCCTTCGGAGATTTACGTTTTCTAGATATGAAGATTCCAGCCATTTGTTGCTGGTTCCGAAGAGAGCCTACTTCTGTAGATTTGTTATCCGTTTTGGATGTGGAGTCCGAATTTTGTTTTCGGCCATTTGTGATGTTGCCAGCCGAGATCAGAGCAGATAACTTCTTCCTTGCTGGAGGAGTAGATGATTTCACCTCGACCCAGTTATTGTCACATTCTATCGGAGGAGAGCCTGACCAGTTTATGGTGGAGATTTGGTACGATATTTTCATCACGACGCTACCATCCTTTCTTCCATCATTCAAAGAAGAAAGAGGAGAAGTGACTACAATCCCCACCGCTTCATCAGACAGTTTGGCTTCGACCAGTTTGTTCCATCAATATTGATAAGGCCGGTTGACAAGACAATTGTGTTCTTGTATTCGGAGGTTGATAGGATCTTTGGCTTTGAAAGGACCGAACACGTATGATGAATTCTGGAGCTGGCAATTGGAGCGTATAGCCATCTACTATACTTTGTCGTTCGTCATGAGGGAATCCCCAGTCCTGGAGCGCCTTCGGGTGATGATGAAAGATCCCACTTCAGATGCCATGAAGAAGCAAGCCCAAGCTTCTTGCCTCCATTACTCTTTCGAGGATGAGAATGAAGTGAGGATATTCAGAGGCCCATCGGAGAAGAGGAAGGCCACAAGGGTCGAGGAGGATAGTGATGAGGAACTCATAAGGAAGAAGAGTAAGGTACCGCAATTGAAGGGTTCGTCGTCCAACAATGAGCCCAATCACCATATTAACGGTCTGCTCAACTTATTTGATAACCGTACTCATATGTGATTCTGCCTATTACAGCTAACGACTTTTTCAAAATTTGACTCAACTAATAACTTACTTATCTTGACCAAATGAAACAACTTTAAATAAAGAAAAATAAAAATCAATGAAAAGGATGGGAAGGTCTAATAATCCTAAACAATGTTTAACAGCAATTACTTTTTGCACAAATCCCTTCCATTACCAACCAAGGAGTCCAAACCCACTCGCCCATCAAAGTCCATTTATCCTTATGTATCTTGATGCGATCCTATATTAATTAATATAGTCGACTCAACTCATTTAACAACTGTGCTAATTTGTTATTATACACGTAACAATTAATAATTTTTTTCAAGATACGTTACAAATTTGACTCAATTAACAACTTACCTTTCTTGCACAAACAAAATGAATTCAAATAAAGAAGGAAAAATCAAACAAAAGAGAATGTTTAATAATCATAATAAACATTTAAACCACAATTGCCTTTATAAAGATCCCTTCCATTGCCAACTCAAAGAGTCCGACCAAACCATTAGCCCACCAAAGTCCATATGTCCTTGTTGTTTATGTATCACGGCGCGTCTTTATACTAATTTCGCCTCAACTCATTAGACAACTATACTAATTTGTTACCACACAAGTAACAATAAAATACGTTACAAATTTGACATAATTAATAACTTAACTTGCTTGCATGAATGAAACAAAATCAAATAAAGAAAAATAAAAATCAAACAAAGTAAGAGGACTAATAATCTTACTCAATGTTTAAACAGTGTTTTCCTTGTATACAAAATTACAAATCCCTTTCTCCGCCAACCAACGAGCCCAAAACCGCCACTGGCCGATCAAATTCTATTCACTCATAGTATTCATGTATCACGACACGTCTCTGTACTGATAGTCGACTCAACCTATTTGACAATTGTGCTCATTTTTTATTCTACTCTACCTGTAAAGCCAATCTACATTACAAATTTGATTCAATGAATAACTTACCTTTTTTACACAAATAAAACAACTTCAAATAAATAAATAAAAAAAGGAAGGTATAATATTCACGGAAATTTATGATTGATGTTATTATTGTATAAAAATTCCCTTTCTACAATATTTTCTTACATATAAATTCACTTTTCAAGTTAATATTTTAATTCACTCACAAAAAATAATAAAAAAAAAGACCCCGAGATGTAACAGCGTAATTTACTCCCTTCAAAACTGGTAGCCACGTATTTTTTTTTTTTTTTTCTCTTGAAAAAAAAGAAAAAAAGCAAATGAAACAGTGTTAAGTTTGTATTTTGTAACGTCGTCGTCATGCTCCGTTTCCACCACAAAAAAAAAAAAAAAAAAAAAAAAAAAAAAGAAGAGAAAAACGGCCGATTTCCCGCGAATGTTATTTATATACGGCTTCCTCTCATTTCTTACAAATCTAAGAATTCACATTTCTCCTCTCTCTCTCTCTCTCTCCCAACTGAGTTGAGCTCGCGAGTCGTCGACAGAGACAAGAAAGCCATGTTCTTAATCCGAGTCCACTCGGTGGACGCCAACAAGCCTCTCAACTTCGACAACTTGGAGTTCTCAACGACCACCAAGAAACCGCCGGCGAAGAATCCCGATTCGGTTTCCAAGTTCTACGAGCGAAAGGGCGTTATTCACCTCTTCCGTACCATAGTTCGTTCTCCGCTGCCGAACCCTAGCTCCAGGACCACCGTCCTCTTCGTCATCGCCGTCCCCAATTACTTCTCCTTCGAGGATTTCCTCCGATTCTGTGGGACCCGCATCGACCATATCACCGAGCTTATCTTTATCAGGTTTCTCTCCATTCATATACTGGACTATTTTACTTAAGAGTTTTCTTTTGTGGAATTTTGTTGATGCTCTATTGTTCTTGGTTGATCAAAGCCCTCAATTGGGTTTCTGAGAAATCCTAGGGAAATGGAGAATTCGATTTTTTTTTTTTTTGGCTTCTTTTCCTGAAAAAAAAAAGGAATTTGATTTCTTTTGGTTAGAAATGACTTTGCATGTGTTTGAGTAAGCATTATATTGCTTTAGCCAGAATTTAAATTTTCAAAAGATTAAAACTTTTTCTTTGCTCGACTTAGTGGTGCTATGTCTCATTATATTTGGAACCTAGAATTTGATGATTTCGATGTTAAAATGTTGGGTTTTGTGTACTCACCAAAGTAAGTCTCCATTTGTGTGAATTCAGGAACGATGGGATGGAAGATCACTACAGTATTGTGATTAAGCTTAAGAATAGGATGTCGTCAGATGGATTTTATTGCTGTTTTAATGGGAAGAAGTTCAAACCCGGTGAGGTATACATGATCATGTGCTTTATTGTGTATTAGATTTTATGATTTTGAGCATCTGATTCTTGATATCTTGTGGCTCAATCAATTTCAGGCCGAGGTCTGCCACATTCTGTTTTTGCATGCCGTGGAATTCTCAGATTCAGCCGAGATAGCAGGGACACCCCCAGATGCGTGCATCGAGTTACCTACTTGCCCCGTTTGCCTTGGTGAGACACCAAAGAATTTACCAATTTTTCCTTTCTTGAGCTATTGATTTAACTTGGCATGGCACAAAATTTAAGCTTCTTTTTTGTGATTTTAGCCAAAATATTGTCGTGCTTGTGTGTTGACGCGTGTTCCATTTTTTGTAATTCTTTGTTATTGTTAGAGAGATTGGATCCAGATACTAGTGGAATATTGACTGCTGTCTGCGACCATTCTTTCCAATGTCCTTGCACTACAAAATGGACTCATTTATCTTGCCAGGTGAGCTGGTTCTCTGTTCTTATTAAAATTTCTTTCACATGTGTATGTCTGTCTTTCTATTCCTACGTAGCTAGCATGTAATTCTGAATTCTCGATTGTGTTTCAAGTTTTGGGTAGCTGAATTGATTGCCAAGGTGATGTTAATAACTCATGGGGCTTCTTTGGAATCTTTCCTTGTGTTGGGTGCTCACATGAGCATTTCCATGCTCAAAAATGATAAATTTTTCTGAAGATAAATTCTGTTATACTTTTTTATTGTCATCAGGTTTGTCGATTATGTCAGCAGCAGGATGATAGACCCACTTGTGCTATCTGCGGAACAATTGAAAATCTCTGGGTTTGCGTGATATGTGGTTTTGTAGGATGTGGAAGGTACTGTACTTATAGCAGTTTTTCGTACACGATGTCTTCGTCCAGAGACTGTTAAATAATAAAGCAATCAGTCACACGATCTGTTATTTATTTGATGAGTCGTGCAATTCTGATATTGTTAACGACTCAATTATTGATACGCTTTTTTTCTCCCTTACCATTACGTGTGCACTTGAAGATACAAAGAAGGGCATGCTATTAGGCACTGGAAGGATACACAGCATTGCTATTCTCTTGACTTAACAACACAGCAAATCTGGGATTATGTTGGTGATAGTTATGTCCACCGACTGAACCAATCAAGAGCTGATGGCAAGTATGGTGAGATGAATGCCCGTTGCATGTCACTTGAAGGAGATTGTGCTAGTTGCACATGCAGTGAGGATTCTGGCTTTGGTGGAGCCCTCTATAACAGCAAAGTCGATGCAGTATGTATTTCCTATGAAAGCTGTTCATTACGTAAATTTTTTGATTGTGAAGACGGCGTTAGTTGCACTAGTCGTATTGTATTTACCTTCACTTTTCCCGTGGACGTACATTGACCAAATTACGGACTTGACAACAGATTGTGGAAGAGTACAATCATCTTCTTGCTAACCAGTTTGAGACTCAAAGACAAGTAAGTACTTCATTATGTACCTATGCACCCTAGCCTTTTTTGGTGGATTGACTAATAAAAATATAGGTTGACAATACATCAGTTTTTAGGAACTTGTATCCGGTCATGCAAATGGTTAAAAAAGGTTTCTCTCTGGTTAATTAGAGACGGGATTTGTATTCTCTACTGTATTACATTGATAGTATGCTTTTGGTTTAGGGCATCATAGCCTCCTCTGTCTCTCCTTTAGTACAATTTCCTTGTGAATTTATCGTTTCTTTTCTTTTTTTTTTTCCAGTATTATTCATCTCTGCTTGCAGAAGCGAAAAGTAAACTGGAAAATGCAATTACTGATGCGGTCGAGGAAGCTGTAAATTCCAAAATGCAGGACATCCAAAACAAACTGCAAAAATGTATGGAGGAAAAGAACGTTGTTGCAGATGTAAGTGTTCTATTCAAGTTTCCTTCTGTTATTTTTTCATAGCTTTGGTTTCCTTTTTATTCCCAAACTTTCATGTTTGAAGATTTCCCTACCCGGTATCTTTATTGCATTTCTTTTTTCAGTCATCTTCTTATTTTTTGTACTTGTTTTTGTTTCCTTAGATCAATCGAAGTCTCATCAAAGACCAAGAACTTTGTCGCAAGAAGTTCAAGGAAATTGAAGAAAGGTACAGTACTTTTGGACCAACTGGCAACGGTCTCTTGGTCAAGAGTGATAACACTGTTAGCGCAGTATGTTTTTTGCTGAAATTTGACATGTGAACCAAGTAGACCATACAATGCTAGAAATGCAATTCTGGTTTTTTCCGGTCCCTAGGTCAGAATATGTAGTTTCTGTTTTACCTTTTTAGCAATAACCGAGGCCCCTATGGACTATAAATTGCATGTGACATGATATTCCTGTAGCCTAGCTGCTTTGAACTCTTCTTATCCTCACATAACTAGCTCCTCATTCTACCATTTAGGGAAGCTGCAGAGCTGAAGCTGAGGGATGCAAAGATACTTGATCTTGAAGAACAGGTACTGCAAGAACATTTAGATGGATGTTTATGCTTGTTGCTACTCCTATTTTCTACCGACTGCGTGCCATTTTTAGATTTTCATTACACCTAATTTAACAACTTTATGGTGCTCTCAGATTAGAGACCTCACTGTCTATATCGAAGCCCAAAAAACGCTTAGTGACATGACGGATTCGGATGGCATCAGAGGAGGAACCCTCTTACCAGTACCTTCAAAGCAATCTTCCCCATCTAATACAAGAAAACAGACAAAGTCAGGTCGTAGAAGAAATTAGAAAGTTGATTGCCTTGGTATACTGTGGATAGACCGAATGGGGTTAGTTCAATAGAGTTAAATTAAATGTTTTCAGTCCTTTACATGGTCAGTTGTAAAACTGGTGGTTTTTCTCTCTTCAATGCATAACAAAGAACATTTTTAAATAATAACGTGTGCTTGGCGATACACATTTACAACCTTCCCATTTTTAATTGTAAACAATGAATAATTATGGGAATGCCTTATTGCCCTTATAAACCGGCCACCTTGATATAAAGACAATTAATGGGGAGTATATGAATTCTTTTCCGGGTAATAGGTTGTGATTTTGTGGCTCTTCGGGCTTAAAAAATTGAGATTAGGTTGTGGTTTTGTGGCTCTTTGGGCTTAAAAAATTGAGATTAGAGTTAGTGTATCTAGCATTACTTTTTTCTTTTTCCTCCTAGTTGATGTTGGAAAGTTTCTACATGTGTAAGCCCTTCAACTTTATTTGGAAATTTTGTGTTCTCTATAGGAAAATTAATTCACACCCACAGTTCGCGCGTTTTTCTGTCTGGTGCTCTGTGAATCCGTCAGTGGCTTCTTTCCTTTACTGCAGCGTTACTTGTTTTGATCTCCTCGTATACAGAAGCCATTTCGACATCGAATGTGCAGTTCATGTGGCTTGGGTCTTTTGTCTTGGTTTTTTATTTTGATGTAATATTCCGTCATTTTAATGTTTATGTTTCTGTTGAGTAATAACACAATTTCTCGTCTCATCTTTCTATAGTGATGGCTGGTCTAGTCCGTTAGGTTGATCGTATGCATTGTTGTAAGTGACACTAGTGCTTTAGGGTCTTTTGCTCTTAATCGATGGGTGGTTTTATCAAATGAGCTTTTGTCACACTTGATTATTAATCTGTCAAGCAAGTCTTTTCTCATTAGATCTCAGCGCTCGTGTTCGTTTCTATGCCTCATCTGGCTTCATTGGTGGATCATGGCTTTGTCTGTGGTCAAATACCTTGCATTTGGTGGTCATTTGTGATTATATTAGAGTTTGTATTAAGATGGTCATTTGTGATTATATTAGAGTTTGTATTGACTTAATAGATGAAAGAAATTCATCAGTTCAATAAAAAATAAAAAATAAAACATATAAAGGAGAGTTAATTAAGTTTGATGTCAAGTTTGTTTGACTCGTACCATTTACTTGGTGTAAAAAGGCAAGTTTGCTCTTCCGAGTATATGATAGTAGCTCGACAAAGTTTTGCCCTGGGGATCGATGTGCAGGGATCTCATCATTGTGGAGATCTACTAAAGCCTGGCCTTCCATGCGAGGCTGATCTCCCCTCCATCATCTCCACTGATAGATGACAGCTTGGAAATCGTTTGGATATCGATCAGTGAGATCAGTCAGACGAAGAGATTGAATCCTCCGCTTGTAGCCGCATGCGGAGGAGTCAGTGCATTTGCGGAACAGTTCGGTCCTAGCTTGATTGAGATTGGCGAGAGGAGATCTATCGTCGTGGTGGAGATCTTTGCTGGCAATATTTCTTCCACAGTGGATGTCGTCATAATGAGGTCGGCGCTGGTGCCGATGATGGAAGAGAAAAGATAGGGATATAGAGAGGAGACGAAATAGATGGAGTCGGGCTCTTTTATTAGGTAGGGTTAAGAGTACACTTTAAAAATACAAATGTAATGTATAAAATAATAAAAGAATAAACAATTGATTCCCGATTCACTTCTCTTAGAAGTGTTATTTTTTTTTTATTGACCCTTTATAGGGTAAAGGTTTTTACTTGGCATTGTGAGATGGTATAAAGGAAGAACATTATGTTGTATTTTTCCGTCTTGCTGTGTTGTGCTAAGATGAAGGGAAACGATTGATCTCCTCCATTGTTTGGTGGCCAGAAAATTATTGTATAAACTGTTGAATGAAGCTAGTTCCTTTGGGTTTTTCCATGCTAAGGCATTTGGATGCCAGAAAAATCAATGAGCTTTGGTTGGTTGGATTGCTGAGCGTTAGATTTCAACGAAGAGTCGGACTTGTGCCAAAATAGGATACGGCCAATCAAGTATCTTGCCAACTACGGTCAATCACCATGCGGATACTAGGCAGACTAGGCCAACCACCAGGTCGACGCCTAGGCCAACCATATTAGGCCTACCAGGCCGACCTCTAGGTTGACCATGTATGACCAAGCACAGGACCTGATTCAACTAGGGGCCTGTCCCCAAGCCAGACCAAGCCTTGGTCAGCGTAGAGTTATCGAGTAAGACAAGTGGCCAATCAACCAATGGACAACCAAGTGGCACCATCTCCACCACCCCCACTGCAAAGCACTCCCCACTTATGGGGACGTGACAAGTGTCATGACTCGACCCCAATACAATTATACACTTGGGTGCTCTCTAAGTGGACGTTTAGTTCACGATTTCAGAATTATAATTTAAAATCATTTTCAAAGCACTCCCCACTTATGGGGACGTGACAAGTGTCATGACTCGACCCCAGTACAATTATACACTTGGGTGCTCTCTAAGTGGACGTTTAGTTCACGATTTCAGAATTATAATTTAAAATCATTTTTGATTTACGTGTATTTTTTGTGAGAAAAAATATTATAACAAACCACGAACCATAACACGAATCCACCAACCAAACGCATACTAAGTTTCTAGTCGGATCTAGGCACCAGTCGAATTCGATAATACTTAAAATGTCAAGTCATTAGCTCACCAAAGAATGGACACGTTAGTGTGTATGCTCAATGAAACATTTTGATATCACTAAAGAGTTATTTGTTTATTTCATATATCAATATTGTCCTCTTTATGTTCATATCAATTAAATATATGTTTGACAAACTAGAAGTATATGATTATCGTTCTAAGTCTTTAAATCATGTATATAATGTGAAGATTATGCGAAAATATATAAATCTAAAAATGATAGTCTAAATCATATGATCCACAATAAAAGGAAAAAATTTAGAATCTTTATTCATTCTAATATTGTCATGTTGTCGTAAGAGTAGAACTCCAACTGTAGAGACAATAATATATTTTTATAGGATTTAGGATTTTGACCAGGAAAAAAAAAAAAAAAAGGTACCATTGTCGAAGCTATCAAAATGCTACTGCTGATTACCTCATTCAGAATGTAGTACCACTTGGGTAAAGTAGGTCACGTTCGTGGGACCTATGCTAGAAAAACCCATCTCCAAGAAACCTAATTTTGTTATTCTTCTATGCCGATGTTTGTATGATGATTGCTAGTTATCATTAAGGGCATGGCATGTTTATTTGACCATATTAATACACAACATTGTGTAATAATATGTTAATACAATATTTAATGTGACCATCGTATTATAAAAATTAATACAGATAGTAAATTAAGTTTATATCGTATAAATGAATACGGCTCAATTTTGACTTATTGTATTATATTATTTCAATAGAAGATCTATAATTCATGTTAGAATTGAACAAGATTAGAAATCAAAATCGGACTAATATAGAATCGTGCCGGAACCTACAATTATTTAAAAATTTGGAGGGCATAATGCAAACATGACCTAATAGTTCAATTCCAAGTAAATTAGTATAGAACAGCTTGGCTGACAGAGATTGATAGATATTCTGCCTAATTACTATAACCAAACCAGTCTAGACAATCAATTACCGGAAACAAAAAACAGTTTTTTTCCTACTTTTCTTCGATATTAAATTTGTGGTGCGTGCAAATTGGAAGATCAATCATTCAAAAAAAAAAAGAAAAAAAACAAGAAGACAGATCTACTTCCACTTTAGATTTCAATATGTAAAGCCAGCCTCTTAGGGCCAAATAACTAATAGAGACAACAAACTTTTAGTGGGGCAGTACCAAAACAGAAGGCGATTCCATGATGCATCTACGCAAAAGCTGTACTTTATTGTGATAAACACTAGAAATTTTATTACAAAGTGTAACGAAAAAAATGAAGAGAAAAACCTAGTAATTAGAGAAGAAAATGAAACACCGTTGACAAATTACAATTAAAAAATTTCAGAATAATAATTAAGAGGATAAGAAAGATGGGCCCAATCACAGCAACTTATAAATCATCATTTTACTGAATTTCCCTATTGTCAGAGAGCCCAACCTTTCCATGTATTTAGCCTTTTGTCTCTACAATTTCCCTTTTACAGCAGCAATTCATACTTGTCCAATGTGCTAAATGAGGGAAACTCGTGGCCACAACCGTCATCATGAGCTCATCTGGTGCCACTTAAACAAACTCTACTGGGTTAATTCAAGTATCTAACGACTATAAGACCTAATTTCTGCAGCTCCGCCCCGAAAAAACTAAAATATGTTGGGACCAGGGAAAGGTATTATACGGAATAATCACATATACTAGAGGTCCTTTTAGGAAAGGGCTTGCACATTTAAATGTCACCTTTGAGGTTGCTCTGATCCGGCTGCTCCTGCAGCAGTACTAGGCCCCGCACCATTTTCTGTGGGAGGGGAGGTGCCCCATTTTCCTTCCAACTCTAACGGCTCGAGTACATGGACTCCACCATCTGTGAGTCCTAGTGCAAATTGATTGGCTTCAGAAGGATGTGCCGCAATGACAAGAGGATACACCCTCAAGCTGTAAAAATTATAACAAAATATGTAAAAAGGAACAGAAGACGGGGAGGGACGGAGGGTTACAAGAAAGCATGTCTATTTTTGCCTGATCATAGTTTCAAAAGGAAATCACACCTCGGGTTCGGAGGTAGATAAGCAGTTGGATTAATTCGACATCTCAATCTAAGTGTTGAAGCAGTTAGAACACCCACACTTCCATCTTCAAAGCTAACATATATAGATTGGCTATCACAAGAATATGTAGCATGGGTGATTGGACCAGTAGCTTCTCGAGGGAACCACTGTAAGAAAAACACGACTCAAACAAGGTTAGTAGTTAATCCCAAGTAACCTGAAAACAATCATTAGTGAGAATGCTGCAATATATGAGATCAATGCTTGCTTTCCCTGCGCCCATGTGGATGTGAAGAACTTAAAATAGTAAACGTGTAGATGCAATGATCAAATCCCCACTCAAATACTTCATTTTGCGTGATAAACATATGTAAACTAAAAAAATTAACAAGAAGCTTATATATATGTATATATACTGTGTATATATACATATATTTTATCTAAAGGAGGTGCACCTGCTTAAGGCATTCCAGTTTTGGTGCTTCATATATAGCTATCTGAGTTTCATGAACTGCCAATAGATGTATCTGATCCTGGTGAAATTGAACTCGGGTATCTGCAGCAGGAGCTGCTGTTCGCCCAGCTGGAATCTGCAAGAATTTACTTGCCTGCTTCTCCCATCCATCTGTGTTCCAGACACACAGCTGTCGAGAAGAGAAACGACGATATGATCGACTTAACACAGTATAAAACTTGGTCAAAACTTAAAGCTACTCTTAGATGACTTGGAAGGTAAAAATGATTAAGCAGGGAGTCAAATAACAAGATTTTAGAAGTCATCATACAAGCAAAAGGAGTAATCAAGTCAGATATTTATTTCCCAGTCAAGGTTCACCGTTGAAATGATTTCAACGTGAATAAACGAAACACGACAAAAACCAAGACAAACAGGCAGCTAATAAATAAAAGATTTTAATAAATTAAATGCGTCTAAACTCTCGTGTGTTCATACTATTTATCCTCTTGGCTCAAAATCCTACTGGATTTTTCCCTAATATGTGTTCCCCCATTGGCCAGTAGTTCAGTGCCTCGATGAAACATTAAGCACATTAAACATGCACAAAGTCTTATATTTCTTACCTGGGAGTCGGCTCCCGAAGATACAAGTACATTCAGAGAGTGAGAGAAGGCAAGACCTGTTATCCTCTTCTGATGACCTTTTAGCTTGGTTTTTACCTATGAAAAATCCCATTTTTAATTGTTACTAATCCCATGCTTTACTGCTATTTACGAACAAGCAACTACTAATAAATTTAAAGATTCAATATAACAGTGCAAGACCTCGTCAACGCGAACATTATAAATTTGGATGGTAGAATCCTCCATGCCTATGGCAATGATATTGTTGTCTTGAGGATGAAATGCCAGAAATGTGGCTGCCGGTGGAGGCGGCATGAATGTTGTCATTGTCTGTAGCAAAGAGAGCATAACAATAAACATAACAGTAAAATTTATCAACATATAACAGATGATATCTTTAGAAACCCCCGGTAACACTTCTATTTCTTTTTAATAAGAGAACTTCCTTTCACCGCTGAGAGAAGAACTGCAAAGGAAAGAGAATTAAGGAATCCTCGAAAAGCAAACAAGAAGGAAATGAAAAAACAGAATAAGAAAAGAACAAAGAAAACTGAATCTGAAAACAGTCCTCCCAAGGCCCATATCTCCAATAACATCCTTCCAGTCAATAAAAATCAAAGAAAGTTGAAAATCCTTAAAAGTTTTACCCGTCAAGTTTTTATTCTTTTCAATCTAAAGCTTGCTTAAAAACTATAATTCTATTATTTCCAAAAAAGAAAAAATGTTTTGGCTTTCATCATGAAAATTATCTTGGAGTACAGGCAAGAAGAATGCTGCAAGCCAGCAACAACAATACTTCAATTGATGATGTCATAGCAAAATTGGAAAGCAGTTAAGGGCCAGACTTGCCAAACAAGTAAAGAGGATATCATCTACTACCTTAAATGTCATCATGTTGAACAAGGAGATTTTCCCCCCAGAAGCAGACATAACATATGAATCATTCTTTGAAAGAGCAAAGCATGGAACGGCTTCCTCAGGATTTGTATCACTAATATCATTGGTCATTAATATTCCACTTGTAGGCTGCCATAATTGTGGTACAACACTAGTAGTGGCCTATGAAAAAACAAGTTTTGTTAGTGGCAGGATTAAAGCCAACAAATAAGGAATAGAACATTCTCATATAAGTGTTTCATACCTTTCCTGCAACATTTCGATCATTTCTCTGCCATTTCCAGAGCTTGTGTACTGCATTAGATGCTAATGCCAATATGGCCAAACCCGAATTTGTATAAATTAGTCTAGAAACCTGAAAAGTTACCAAATGCGTTAGATTTGGACCTCACATTCCAAAACGAACCCATAACAATAATAAAAATTCATGTACAAGTTACAAAAAAAGGAAAAAAAAATTCCGATCCACCAATGATAAAGAGATGAAAAAACACATCAATTAACGGAAATATATATATATACATACATACATATACATATATATATATATATATTAAATGTAGCAGGAAATGAGGATGCGAATAAATCAGTACCCTCATTGCTGTCAAATTGTCAGGAAGTTTCAACGAGCGGCATTGTGATGGTTCATTGATTTCTGTCAGTTTCCAGATCCTAGATTTATCTAGCGACTCATCAGCAATTCTAGGTTTCACGTCAACCAAGCCCCGGCTATCATTGTTCTGTACAAACACAAAACAAATAAGAAAAAAATAAGTACAATCATTAAATATTAGATATCTACTTTAAATACGTCTAATATACATAATGTCATATAAACAATCACATAAGATAGTAGAGGTAATTTACTAAGAAATGAAAGTTATCCGGGTTACCATTATAGATCTAATACTCACCAATCCAACCATTGCCGCTACTGGTGTAGTTCGATCTCCAATGCTTGTTCCAACAGAAATGTTGGCCGAACCAAATGCACCAATTGCAAGAGGCTGCTGCATATAGATAATACATTTAAAGAGTCATGGTCAAATCCTCAGAGTTGACATGAATCATCAGATAAGATTCATAATATCACCGCTATTGAATTTTCCATCTCTCTTAAACATGAGAATGATAAGAGAATCTTAAAAGGATCTACCTAGATGAAAGCTTTACCTTGACTGCAGCTGCCGAAGCAACTCTAGATGCGTCAAATGTACGATTTTCCATAGTTCGTAGGAGCCTAATTCCATCAGAGTTTCCTAAAATTTTGACTCCATTGTCATTTGTTGAGACTGCCAACAGTATTCCTTCCTTGTTGAATCTGATACAAGGAGAAGCCTGCAGGTTTATCAGATCATAATTATTCAGTTGGCAGGAGGGGTAAAAACAAGAATTAAATACTAACAAGGAAGAAATGAATATTCAAAATTATGTGCATGGATGTGTACATTGAATAGGCTAAAAGTATACAACACAGTAAACATCAATAATATTGGGAAAAATATTCTTTAGAAAAAAGACATGGCATAGGAGAATGGTCAAGTGGGGGGTGGTGGTGAGATTCCAAAAGGTCTTACTCTGTGTGTGTGTACAAAATACAAGTATTTACATTTCTGTATATATTGATGTATATAGATCTGTTATTATATTATTGATGTATATAGATCTGTTATTATATTATAATAAGTGTGTACCGGCAATCCACCATCAGCATCAAGACTCGTCAATAGATTCACGTTATCCATGTCCCAGAATTTGACCATAAACTCATCTCCAGCAGCTAAGAACCTATTTTTTGTAGTATCAAATTGTACAATCCCCACAGATCTCTTTCCAAGACCATGATAGGTACGCTTGACAGCTCCTTCACTTTCATTCCATTCAACTAAGTATGAATCTCCTTCTTTATTTGTCCCACATGAGAATAACCTATTAGAAACGTCCACAAGTCAACATAAATAAAGCATATACTCAACCTCATATACAAGTAAAAAATCTCATAAAACGCATGCGTGTAAAAATTAGCAAAGTAACCTGGTTCCATCAGCACTATACGCCATAGTGGTAGATGAATGGCCCGGTGCATCATAGTCAACTCTTGAGCCCATGTTATCATATAGCCACGCCTTTATTTTCCCATCAGTTGCTGTCGAGAAGATGAACTGGGAAAAGAGAATTCTTAAGCCAAACAGATAGTGTAGATATTCAATGTTTCATGCCAATGCAGTCCTAACCAGCTTTTGGAAACCAAGATTGTGGAGAAAAAGGATGGTCACACTTATAATAAGTACAAATTTGTAAAAGTACTGTGAAAACACATGAAGTTGGAATTTTTTTTTTTTTTGCTCTCGATTTTAATATTTCTTGAAAACAACATTATGTGGAGAATGTAGATGAGTTTTTGGTTCCATTTCGTTCTATCTCAAGTACAAATAGAAAAATAAATAAACAAATCAGCAAAAGAAGCTTCACTGTAATTGCATAAAAGCAAATATGATAAAACGAAAAGAATATCACCTGAATATTTTCCTTGTGATGTGGACACACTGAATAGACAGGCGCTTCATGGCCTTCAAAAATATACTGCTTTGCCCCAGTAACTGCATCCCATACCTGCATAAATCTTGACACTCGTAACGATGACCTGCCCAAAGTAAACAGATCTATAATAGTAGAACAGACCTTAATGACCCTGTCCTCCCCACATGTGACGACGCATAGCTGCTTGTTTGGATATGAAAATGCAAGATCATTTACACTGCCAACGTGAGCCTCAATCTGGGAAAGTGAATTGACAACAATGCTCAAGTCAATGATTAGCCAATACAGAAGAAGTTAAAAACTGAAGTATTATTTATAAACAAATTTCCTAAAATAAAAAATCAGAAAAAGAAAATACATGTGGAGATAGGTAAGATCAAATAGGTCGTAAATGACAAACCTCTAGGTGATTTCGTAAATCATCACCACCTTGATAGGCATATATGTGCACAATGTGCTTTGAGTATGCAACGCCTAAATTAGAGAAGATAATTATGACAGTCAGCTTAAAGTGCGTTTCTCTTTTTTCATAGCTTCCATTTGTAAAGCTTTAGATTCCATGCGGCTAATAATGTAAACATATACTTAAGCAGAACAATAAATGAACAAAATGACTAGAATTACCAAAAAGGGTTCCATCAGGGCTCCACATCACACGGTTCACAGATGCTGAATAATCATTGGCCAGAGATGCCTAGAATTGAACCAAAGGTAATATTCCTCAACAAACACAGAAACTCCAAGAAGTGTATAGGTCATACTTTGAATAAACTAATAACTAGTATTAAAAGTCAAACCTGCAGAGGCATTGAACACGCTCCAAGCTCCCAGACCTTGAAATTCCTTACAGCAATCCTTTCATGGCTTGGTAGCTCATAGACCATGACATCGCCCATATTTGTTCCAACTATGATAACAGATGCATGTTATTAAGCAAAAGAATAGAAATAACAGCAAAATCCTCGGAAAAGGGATTGGTACAATTTTATCAAGAAAAAAAAAACAAACAAACAAACAACCGAACAATTGAATGAACAAGCTACGCGCTGAAATGAAAGTTTAATTCATTAAACCAGCATGCACTTACCAAGAAGTAGAATTTGCTGCACTGGATGGAAATCCATGCTCTTAACAACTGAACCCAGATTTAAAGTCATAACAACAGATCTGGGCAAGTCATCAGAAGAGTAAGAACTTTGGCCATGGCTTTGATTGGGGTATGGAACAGGCAAAAGATTTACTGCTAGATTATTGGCCTGTCAGATATTATGTCAGTGGAGGACTAATTACACAAAATGCATGAACAGATTAAAAAAAAAATCATGAAATCGCAATAGGAATCACATAAGCTCAGGAGCAAATATATAGATACAAAATACATAAACATGGACTTTTCTTTTAGGGGAAAAGAGAGATACTAAGCTTCTAAATAAATGGCTTATACCTCGGTAATTGCAATGCTTAGGCATACAAAGCAAAGATAGTGGACGAAAGATATATCTCTACAGTGATGGAAACAATTTAAATTTACATGTCAAAGAAAAGCATAGGGATGAGGTATCATAATTCAAATCAATGAGAAAAAACCACTTGAGCTCATCAACTGTAATAACTTCATTCAAAACCACTTTAGCTCTAAGAACTAACTCAAAATCAGAAAAACAAAGCTTCAGATTAGTACTACATCGTACTCCCAAGTGAATTAACGATACATGGATAAACAGATGGATTGGAAGTGTACTTCTTCTGATATTCCAAAGGGTCTTGATCTCTTTAGCACATGTTCGGAATCTGCAGTTTGATAATCCATAGCAGGGTTATTGGTAGGAGGAGTTCTAGGGCGCTTCAAGATGGCTGTCATACAAAGCAACGAAAAATGGTAAGAAAAGTCAGTTTCCATAAAAAGAAATCACCGCAAACAACATAACATGGATAGAGTCAACTTAGCAGTAGAGCTCAATATTACCAGCATTGTTAGCGGCAGCCAAACCAATAGGCCCAGCAGAAGCAGAAGGGTGAGGAACAGGAGAAGGATTTGCCATCCACCCAGCAAGAGCGGTTGGAGCAGGCTGAAATGGCTATAAACATGTATGGATAGAGTCATACTTATAGAAATTTACACTTAACAGCTTAATAGGCTATTGAAATAATAATAATAACAACAACTAAAGTTTTCTAAATTTCTATTTTACTTCACTTACACCATGAGCACTAAGTGGTGGAAACCCTCCTGGCTTTGGCACAGCCCCCATTAAGGGATTAGTGACGGGGGATGGAGCCCTGGCACCATTTGGCTGTCCACAACTGTGGTCTACAAAGAGGGTCTTTATGTCAGGGTTAGGCCTTGGATTCTTACAAAGCTGATGCTGCCAGTTTAAACTGTGGGGAAAGAAAAGAGAAAAGCTTAAACTAGTGCTACATTTAAATTATAGTGTAAAAAGAAAAAGAGGGCAACTTCTCAAGGACCTCTGATTAATAAGAGTACGCAGTCTTGAGTTCTTCAAGGTCGGAAATTGAAGTTTGTCGCGAAATAGCGGGTTAGCTTCAATCAACTTTTTTAGCTCCGCAAGCATTATACTCCTAGCAGATTTAGTATCCCCATATTTAGATAGCTGTTCATTATCCCTGCAAGTTGATTATTACCATTAAAATGTGCGAAATATTGCAAAAATAACCTAAGCAATCCACAATAAAAAAGTTGTCATACCTAAAGTTTTCGAGAGTTAATAGCTGTGTAATTTCCTTAAAAAGTTCCTCATTGAATGCCGCGAATGCTTTCAAGTCCTTGACTAATATTTCAACCGCTTTAGCTCTATCCCGCCTGCAATTTTTTAATACCATTTTTGGATTCAGAAAACGACCCAAATATAATCATAATAAAAAAAAAAAAAAAAAAAAAAAAAAAAAAAAAAAAAAAACCATATAGTTGAGGCAAAAACCAAAGAAAGAAATGGAAATTACATAATTTTGATTCTTCTTTTTTTTTTTTTTTTATTTGCTAACACAATTTTGATTCAGTAAACACCTCAAGACACCTACTTGTCTAAAGCCTCAAGATACTTCTGCTTGCGAATCTCGAAAAAGATCTTCATGGAGTATCTATTATCATCAACCTTTGTGAAACCAGACAGATACTTCTCTACCTCTTCCCACTCGCCACTTGTCACCATATCCTCAAAATACCTCATGTTGAAGAAAAACCCAGATTCTTGCTCCAACCTTTCGACCCCACAATCACACCGTCAAGTTGCATCAACATTAAAATTAAATTAAATTAGAAAAAAAAATCCAAATTAGCACAAAAAACATAAACAAGACAAAGCAAAAAAGGAAAAACATTTAAAGGAGAGAAAATTGAGCGTACTTGTGAACCGTCTCTTTGAATTTCTCTTCGTCGAGAAATTGAAGTATGAGAAACACGAGCTCTCTGCTAAGCGACGTCATATCGCTTCCCAAGAAAAGATCTAAAAACCTCTCAGATCAATTCGACAAAACTGCAAATACAAAAATCCCAAAATTACGCTCAAAACACGCCAAACAATCAACCGGAACTCTCATTTCCGAACAAGAACAACCTCGAATTACGCGAAGAAAAACGAAAAACGAGAAAAAGAAAGAAATATCAGAAGAAACCAAAAGAAACAGGCCAGAAAATCAGAGCAAAAAAAATAACGTACCTCGGCTGAAATTGATTGAACAGATCGGACGGCCTCTCTCGAAGAAGACGACGAGAACGACGAGAGAGGGGAGGGGAGGGGGATTTTGGGGAGGTTTCGGAGCTTTCTCTCTCTAGTTTCTCTCTCTAGCTTTTTCTGTTTGCGAAGCTCTTCTGCTAAGTATTTATACAGAGAAGGAAAGGGTTAGGGATTTGGAGGAGAGAGAGGATCGTGTGAAGCGAAGAAACAAAGGTATCAGACAAATTAAATACCGCGAGTGAGAGAACGAGATGATATATAGAAATTCTCGCTATGATAAGTGTGATGATAAGACCTCGTACTTATATAACCTTTGATGTGCTTATACAAGAGGTAATACGTTATTCTGCTTATGAGCGTAATGAATACCCTTGCAATTGCGATTTGTTATTGCTTTCGGCCGGGTTTTGCGGGGTTTTCAAAGGAAAAAGGTTAAGTACCACTATTTTTTTTTTTTTTTATAATTAAGGTTAAGTACCACTATTATCATTAGTGTTTGTTTTTTTAAGGATAATTTTCATAAGTACCCGTACTATAATTTAAAGTGTCTTTAATTTTTTAAAACTATTTAAAACACTATATAAAAATAGATCAAATTGCTCCTGTTATTTAATTTTGTTAATAATCTTAACAGATTGTTGACATGACATGTCATTAATAGTGTGAGAAAGACATTTTAAAAGATAAACCTTAATTAGTAGTAAAAAATCTATTAACCAATTAACCTTAATATAAAATCACACAAATCAAATAAAATTAAAAGATAAATTAAAAATTAGAAATCAACCCTTGTCGTCACCATCGCCATGGGTTGCAACCGTCCTATCGAGCCTATAACACTGGTTATGGAATTCATCCCCCGATTTTCTAAAACAAAGCAAAAAGAATCAAAATCAAATTAGCTGAACATGGAATTCATTGTAGAGTTTATGATTGTTCTTGAACAAGATCAATAAGATCTTAGAGAGAGAGATCAAAGAGAGTTGCTATGGGTTTGTGAATTGTGAGAAAATCATGGGACAAGGCCCAAGGGAAATAAATTTTTTTATTTATCCTTTAGTAATTAGATTATGAGTTTCTTTATTAATTTTTTATAATTAATTATTTTAAACTTAATTTAGTTTAAACATTTTAATTTGAGTGCCACGTCAGCAATATGTTAAAGATGATAGACGGAGATAGACAGAAGGGAGATTTTGAATGATTTTCTATAGACCAGGGGTTACTTTGAACGGTTTTGAAAGATCAATGGGCACTTTAAAACAAGTTACATAGTTCAGGGATATTTATAAAATAAATCATTTTTCTATATATAATTAAGGGAATTTCTCTGATGTTCCCCATACTTTTAAAAACACTGGTGTTCCTTATTTAGCAGCCGTTGAATCTGCATTATTTTTTCAATCTATTTTATTATTTATCATATTTAATACATATCTAACGGCTAATAAATAGGAAACATCAGTGTTCTAAAAAATACTAGAGAAAGTCCAATTAACTCACAATAGTTATATGGTAATCAATTATTAAAACGTGGATCTGTATTGGTAGTAACGTGTAAATTTATTTCCTTTGAAAAAAAAAAATGTATAACGTGTAGACTGCATGTGATAATGATACTATAACAATTAGTATGGTCATCCATTATTAGTGATGTGTTATTACATTTTTAATGAATTTTTGTTCAGGAAAGTAAGAGTGGCTTTTGTGATAAGTAAAACTCTGAGCCTTATTTTTTTAACTTTTTTTTATGTATATAATCCGAAATAAAAAGTTGTAAATCTAGATAATGTAAAAATATTATACTAAATTCAAACATTCTATTTTTCACAATAATTCTTCAACGAAGCTTTTTTTTTTCTTTTACCTGCCTTGGATATTCCTTTTTTTTTTTAATCCTGCATTGAATATTCTGTTATATATACTAATGCATGCCAATTGCGACAATTTCGTCAAACAAAACAAAAATAAAGATGAGAAAAATTCATTGCATCATTCTAAGAGTAACTTTTGATTTCTTTGATAAATATGAAATTGCAATTACCAAATTAACCCTTTTTAAAATTTTAACTTGGTCCGACTCTTACAAATTTCATTCATAGCACATTTCAATTAATATTTTTTTTTTGAAAGTTATTTCAATTAATATTTCAATCAACCAAATTATCCCCTCAGTTTACAATCTTTTATCACTATTTTTAATTTTTTAAAAAAAAAAAAAAAAAAAAAAAAAAAAAAAAAAAACGAGTGTGAACGTGATAAAATATTCTTCCATTATTTGTCGATAAATGCGCATATATAGCCTCTTTAAATGAATAATTTTATAATCTCTCAAAATCATCCGTCCAAATTCCAATCACTTGTCTAGTTGCCTCATGTAGCTAAAATACAAAAAAATTTCACCTTCGCGTTCCAAATATTGCATGATTCTGTCTATATTTATGTGCTTGAATTCTGTCAAAAATCTCCTATGTTTTCGACTAAAATGGCAACCTTTAACTTTTGTTTTTAAAACGCTGAGATAATTTATATTTTTTTAATAAGGTAAAATTCACCAATTTATGTTTTTTAAAAAATAATTATTTACACACCTCTCTTTACTTTCCACACCTTCATTTAAATTAAAATTAAAATTTTTAAACAACATATCTCTCATATAAAATGATAAAAAAAAGGACAGTTATGATGGACTTAATTTAGTAATTAAATTTTATTATAAAAATTAAATTAATGATACGGTATTTTTTTCTCCCGCTCACCCTACATGTCAAATGTCCAAATTATAAACTATTGCTCTTTTGAAATTTGAGACAAAACCCTAGTTTTCATCTTTCGATGACTATTTTAAAAATAAAAAAAATTTAAAAAAAAAAAGTCTATTGAGAAAGTAGATCTAGACGATGAATAATGAAAACATATGATACTTTTTAGAAAGAGACTATATGTTTATTACAAGACAATTCAAAGTCGTTTTGCACATATTGTTGAGTTTCAACATATATAAAATGACTTCTACTTGTCAAATTATAAATTAATAAATGTCATTTATTTTTTAAAATAATGTACTAGTAAATTTATTTTTATGAGTGAAAAAAGGCTCCATGCCTAAAGCTTGAACCGCAAAAAAACAAAAAAAAAATAAAAAACAAAGAAAGATAGAAAGAGATAGAGAAATAATAGTATTAAAGTAACAAATTAAAATGAAAGGGTAGGTGTTAAAAGAAAATTAAAGTGGCCAAGAATCATTAATTTTTAAAGTTATAAAGTAACAAATTAAAATGATATTATTAGAGTAACAAAAAAAAAGATATTAAAGTAACAAATTAAAAAAAAATAGAAAGAGATAGAGAAATGATAATACTAAAGTAACAAATTAAATGATATTACTGGTCCCAAAACTATTTACGGAGTGAAACTCTACTCTTTGCAATGTTAGGGAAATCAATAACAATCGTCTATCTTTTAACGGAACACTACAAGTGTACATTAAAGGCATCCGAGTTTTTAGTGTCAAACAATAAATTTATTTCATAGAGTCAAAAATGGTTCTACTCACACACTCTACTTGATTTTTAGCACACTTTTTCAATATTCAAAAATACGCTCATATAAAATAATAAAAAAAGACAATTAATATAAACAAATTTACATATTTAAATGTTATCATACAAATAAGCAACCTCTGTAACTAAACTCTAAATTTTCATCTTTCAATAACTATTCAGAAAAATTACATGGAAGTGAGTTAAATTTGTCTTTGCCATTTTCCATACCAAAACTTTGTTGTACGTTTGCATTGAACATGTTGTCGGAAGTTGTTTTATTTATAAATACCATATGGATGATGGGTATGACAATTGTTGCGTTTGTATTCCCTTTTTTTTTTTTTTCCCTAACTTGCTTATTTAGGCCTGTTTGTTTCGCAGATTTAAATTGTGTGGATTTAAATTTATTTATGGATTTTTTGTGGTTTAAACTGGCGTTTGATAGTGTAAAGTCTAAACAAGAAATAAAATTTGAACCAACATTTAGTTATATTATAAGAGCTATGAGTTTTTAAAAAACGTGAGTAAAAATGGTTGATGGGAACTTTTGGTTGAGTTTTGAACAATAGTAAAATCAGTTAGAACTTTAAAAACTTTAGATGGGTAAAGTTGAGTTCAACCTTCAATTTTTGGGTTCAAATGAACCCTAAACCTAAATTCAAGTTCAAAATGTTATGCAACAAGAGATGTTAAAGCGGGCCGGACTTGCTGGGCCACCATAAGCACAACACGTTAAAATTTGGGCACAGCATGACATGCCACAATTATTAAATTAATCTAGCCCATCCCGTTTATTAAATGGGTCGAGCTTAACACAATTTTTTAGCACGAAGCACGTTAAAGGCACAACACGTTAAGGGCCTGGGATGAGAGTGGCACGAGCATGTTAAAAGCACAATAAAGGCCCAACTAATGAATATGAAGTACAAAACTAATCTTCATAATCTTCTTTATAAGACTTATAATTGTCTTTTTTTTTCTTTACCAATATTTATCCTAGTGGGGTTTGCTTGATATAATTTTTAATGAGGCATTTTTTTTAATTAATGATGTGTTTCCTTTGTTAAGTTTAATGTTCTCATTGCGTTCAATGTTACTTATTTTCTTGTATTTGTTGTAAATTTACGCACACAAACACACACAAGGGGATGATAAAAGTGTGACAAACACATAGACATAAGTATAGCTCAAGCACGTTAAGACACGGCCCATAAATAAATGGGCCGTGGGCTGGGCTTGGCGTCACAAAAATTAAATGGGCTAGGCCCCAACACGACATGATAAATAAATGGGCTGACTCAGACATGACACGAGACACGTATGGACCCAATTTAAACGGGTCAGGTCGGCACGATTGACATCTCTATATGCAACCAAATAAGAGTTTAAATTGAATTTTAAGTTCAAACCCACCTTAACCCTCCAACCAAACAGACACTTGGCTTCTTCCATTCGTGATTCTTTCTCTTTTTCAATTGCTTTTTTCGTTGTGTGTGTGTGTTTTTTTTTTCTTTTATGAACTTTAATTGACTAACAGCTTTTAAATTTAGGAAAATTGTAATGAATAGACCACTTGTTAAAAC